ATGTGTTAATTTGTTAATTTAATTATGTGTACTTCTAAACTTTTATTGTACTAACCTTGAACATGTGTTTGGTGTACCTTTATAAATAAAAATAAAAATTATACGGAAGAAAAACTAAATCTCAAACTACACTTCTTTTTTTATTTTTAAGTTTGGTTTTTTAACTATTTATGAAATTATACATTTATATACCCCATTAATAGTTCTTGTTTTCTCATCCTTTGCTTTGAATTATATGTACGAATGAAGTATATTTAGAATGATCAACTAAAGGAATCAGTACAATACATGAGTTTTTCTAACTTAATCTAAACCTCTTCGCCTCATATACGTTGCTATCGTAAATTTATTGATGTTCAATAAAAACTCAATTTATATAACATTGTTTTATTTTGATCGAAATGGAAAACTAAAACAATTATGAGTGGAGAAACTAATATTGTAAATTAATACCATAATTTCGGACGTCATTAGCTTCGCAAGCCTTCTCAAGCTTAGCTTACCTCGGGGGTGGGTGTTGTCCGACCTCTCTCGGAGGCGGGGGGTGAGACTAACAGGAAAAAGGAGGGTAGGAAAATTTCCATTTTCTTACGTCTTTCCATCGCCGCGCTCTGCAGCAGTTTTTGATTAACGGACGGCAAGGGGCGCAATTTCATTATGTATTCATCCCCCCGACTTATTTACTCGCGGGCGGGCGGGGTGGTTATTGTTTTGCGGTTGAATTTAAGAAAAGGCATGGCTCTCCTTATCTGCGTTACTGCGAATCCTTCCGCTGTTATGCTATTTAAAAAAAATACAGTCAAATTGAAAACCTCCTCCGTTTTTGAAGTCGGTTTGAAAATCAAGTTGAAACGCGACACAATCCGTAAAATAGTTTCGTTTGACAACGTGTATAGTTAAAATTTGTAGAAAAATACAAAAAAAATATAACACGACATTGGTACACGTATAAAATAACAGCGATATCGTAAACTTTTTCACTCCTGAGTGAAATAGTACGGCCAGAGGACGCAAGGTCCACCGCTGGCATTTACCGTTTGTTTTTCCGACGCGCTGACCCTCTGCCGGTGTCGAACCGACTGCCTTTCGCCGCATAGCTGCCTAATCGCGAAGCAGCCGGTAACGAGACACTTATTCAGCCCAATCTATTGGGAAATCGTTAGTTTATTCGTATTGGCTGAGATGGTCATAAATGTGTTGCAACTTGGTTATTACGTTTGATGCGGAATGATTTCTGTTTTTTTAAGACTCCGTACCCAAATGGTACGTATTACTGAGGCTCCACTGTGTCTGTCTATCTGTCTGGTTGTCTGTCCGTCTGTCACCTGTATCTCGTGAACCGTGATAGTTAGACGTAATTTTCACAGATGATGAATTTCTGTTGCCGCTATAACAACATATACCAAAAACGCAGAATAAAAATATATTGATTTACAGTCAAATTGAGAACCTCATCTTGCTTTGAAATCGGACTTATTTGTTAACAGAAACATTGATAACCATAAACAAATATTGTGTGAAGAAATAGTTACAAGACCTTATCGATTAAACTCTAAAGGTGTATCGATTAAACTCGGGGCGCGTTGCAGTAAAAGCTGGTTTGATTCTGCCATGATTCGTACCAGCGACATTTTTTTTTAATTTTTCTTTTAAACTCAAATTTTAGTTTCAACTTGAGTGCCGACTACCGCTGAAAATAATAACAATTTATCAGTGAAACTCACATTTAGACATCATCTTCAAAGCTCTGTAGTTAGCTTGCTTTTAAATCAATATCGCGTATTTTGAATTTAGCATTTTTACGGTGGTAGGGCCACGCAGCAGCCTCGGCTGTTGCACGAATGGGCAGGCTTGTCCGGGTAAGTACCAAGACCTCACAGAAGACCGGCGTAAAGTGGAAGTATAATACCTTCGAGTTTCGTCTGGTAAGTGAGGTGGCCGGGGCCCAATTTTACAAAGGTTGTCAATGCATCTGGAACCCTCGGGTGTAGCAGATGTCAATGGGCAACGGTATTCACTTAACATCAGGTGAACTGTCTGCTCGCTTGGCAACTTTTCACATAAAAAAAGCAACCCGAGTTCAAATCTCGGTGGAAATTGTTAATGCCAATTTCAGACGCTGACTTATCACGTGCTCAACTGTGAAGAAAATCATAGTGGTAAATGTGCGTATTTTCGGTAGTTATAGAATTTAAGAGGACTTAAATAACTTCATTTCGTACAAAATGTTCAATATCTCTTCATCGCTATCCCACATTGCTCTCAAAATGTCTCAGTCTTTCGTAGTTCTTATAGACATGGTGTTCGGATCATTTGAACCAAATAGCCTTTAGCAATTTTAACCTAAAGTTTACCGATTTGTAGTAGACATAAATATATACTGCGACAGGCAAACCTCGAGTTATCTAATTATCGTATCATATCACCGTATAACAATTTCGTAATAAAGTGTTCTCATTAATTATATTTACATTTATACCTTAATGTCACCATAACCGGTGTTAGGCATTAGCCCTAACGCATGGGTCACTAGTTAGTTTTAGTTAGATAGATATAGTATAGATATATAGATCTAGATACTTCTTAAATCTATATTTCACCGTGCAATGGCTAAGAATTGGAAACCTCATTAGATGATGTCACTAATGGATGGATGATTCCAAATCAATTTGCAAATCGACAACTATAGCCTCGCTCACTTCAATATTTTGATAATATTTATCTTTATTTGCGATAAAAAATTTTTTGCAGTTAAGTCTTTAATTAACCAACATTAATGCCCGGTTTCTGAAACACTGATCATCGTAGAAATTAACTAATCAACTGTCAAATGGCATTTGAGTTGTCAGAAGGATGGTTAAACTCTTTGAAATGATCACTCTGATCGTTTCGATCAGCTTTTACTTATTCACCCTTCTTTTGGCAACTCAAATTATTTATTTGAGAAACCATTTGACTTTTAGAAACCGGGTGTAAGTGTTCTAAATTTGCAGTCAGTGGACCCCTTTCATTGACAGTCCTTTCTTGAGTAAGTTCGAACCGTTGAAGTTACACACGTTCTGTTGTTAGGTAAAACGAGATCTCCAACATTCAACAAAAAACATAGGTATATGAAGTACTGTAATCAATAATGAGGCTCCATAGATTACTTGTTGTTGTGGAGCTGAATCTGATCTTTACGTCGGAATAATCTCATTCAATGATAGCTTACATTATTATTGTATACATTAACATCCATAAATGTTACGAAGATGAGACATACAGCTCCATTTGTTCATAAAAAAGTGTTGCGGATTTTTTTATCTCCCGATCAAATTCAAATGATAAGGTTAATATTTAACATTCTGAGCTGTTTACGCCACAAATAATTTGTTGAGTCAAAATTGCTTATTGGTTGGCTGGGACGAAGAAACAACATGGGAAAATGGTAAAATAATTAGTTACTTCAATTTAATTGATTTTTTATTTTTTTTATATATAATAAGCTTTTTGTACTATGAACCGTATACAAATGTGTTAAAGATAGTTACTATCCGACGACAGATGGCGCGTTTAAATAAATATTTTTATAAATCTCGACAGTTGTGTTTCACATTTGCAGTCTTATAAGAATTAGACAAAATGTTATGTTAAAGTTTTAACTTAAACGAAAATTCAGACTAATATATATATTTTAATAATTCATAGTCATTTATTAAAAAAATACAACGTTTGTCAATTTTCATTAAACGGTATTATAGCACTGTAATGACAAATATGTAAAACTTCTTAATGAATATGAAAAAAATAATCCATAATAGATTTTATATTAATATGATTCATAATAGATTATGATATAAGTAAATATTATTTGACGAAGTATATATAAGTAATATTACATATTCGGTAAATATACTAAAAACATACTATTGCACTATTTTGTAGTATTTTAAATAAATGTATTAGATTTTTAGTATTAGTTTATCTACGCTTTTGTATGCTGAAATTTGTTACGAGTAAAAGTTGGATAGAGGGCGCAAAAACTATCAGGGTAGTTTGTGTGCATATTAAACAGAGGGCAGCACACACTTTCGACACATGCAATCAGAATAATAACATCTTCCCGCTAACCTTAGGATTCAATCGGTGCTGCACTGTCACAGATAACTGCTATAATAAAGAAAGACACATACATACATTTGGAATTCGATGAACTATACGACGAGACGATTGTACTGCCAACTGCGAGTATCATGAGTGTTATTCCCAAACGGCCTATGTTCAGCGGTGGCCGCGAACAGGCTGCAATGATGATTAAGATGATGAATACAATTGTACACAGGGTGATGATGAAATACGCATGCGCGTATAAAATTAATGTAACAGCCTATACAAGTCCCACCGCTGGGCAACGGTCTTGGACGGAATTAGGGCATAGCCCACCACGCGACCCCACTACGAATTGGCAGACTTCACATTTATTTTTGAAAAATTTTTTTTTGTTATTATTTCGATAATATGCAGGTTTCAGGATGTTTTCCTTCACCAGCAAGCTCGCGTCGACTCACGCACTTAAAATTACCTATACCAAAAAATTTAACTATTCAATAGTTATTTCAGGTCACTTTGTGTTTATAATTTTTCCACTCACACATAAAGTGTCATTCTATCAGAACAGCGTGCAAAATGCCGTCATTAATGAGACTTGTTTAATTTAACACGGCTCCATGTTTTCAATAAAGGCGTCATTGAGGCAATTAAATTGAAATCAATCGCGTGAAAACACCAATCTCAAAGATTAAGCGTAAAGAGCGAGCGGTCGCGAATTACTAGCACGTGCTTAGCGTTTCGAGGAAATCAAACAGGTCCCATCATAATTTCGGTTGGTGGCGAATTAGCCAATTTCACGACGAATTAACTTTACCGCGCACCCGTTAAATTACGTTGTAAAAATTATGAAGGCCTAGTACTTTTGCTCGGCAGCCGTACGCCATGAGTACAGTAAGACAGTACCTTCCATAATGTTCCATTTCAATCTCGTCGCCTTCCTTTGGATCTATACTCTAGTGCCGGTTGAGTCCAGTCGTGCGTAACGTGTTGTAATCTCTATTTGTCATAATATTACATATTACAGTGATTGAATTTAAGCAAAGTGATAGAAGAAAATAAAAGCGTTCTGAAGCTTTTGAGATGGCAAATATCAGAATCGTCTAACAATAATGATTTAAAGATGGTTTTCATATAAACTTTTAACTCAATGAATTTCGCTGAAGTAATGTATAGAATTTGCATTCGGGAATCACTATCAACTGACATTTTTTGTTACCTCGAAAGGGGAAAAGATATAAGACAAAAGTTTCAATTTAGATTTAAATGGCCTAAGTAGAGTGGACATTGACTTGCTTCAGAATATATTTATTTTATAGCTATAAGCAACATATTACACCGTAAAAATCAAATCGCTTTCAATCAATCGGCTCTTTTAAATGCTGGCAACTATTCTGCAACGCTTAAGTGTTGTAGATGACTATGGGCAGCTGTTATGTTCGCATAAGGTGAAACGCTTGCTTACTTTGAGTCGTCAAATTCATTCAAGTACAAGAGATTAGTTGTTCAGTTTCCCCTAAATTATTTTATTCCATTTATTAAATTTTATATTTTTGCTGATAATTAGATCTTGACATTAGACATTTTTTTGGACTGATGACCTGTCCAAGGTCTCGGGACTACGCTGGATGTAGGCCGCTTCAAACCGATCGAAGTGGAAATCCCCAGAGGAGGCCTATGTTATGAAAAAAAAAATAGATAATTTCGGAGCTTCTTAAGGTTCAGTGACACCGACTGTTTCAGAGTTCGACGTCATCGTGATACCGCTACCGAAGGTGAACGGAAAGCTGACGAAGGTGATCCACGATGCCAACTCGCATCCGAGGGTTGTCAACCGCAAGGAGCTGTACAGGGGGCGCGATGACATCTTTAAACTGGACTTGGAGAACTACGACGAGCCGACGGTTATGCCCGACATCGACAGCTTCGATTACAACAACGCTGACAGGAATGTCAACTTGAAGCGCGGCTTCGACTACGACGCCGGGATGAGTTACGGGGACGACAAGATCGTTGGCGGCGAGGAGGTCGATCTAGACCAGTACCCGTATCACGTGGCGTATGGTACCAACTGCGGCGGTGCGATTATCGATAAAAACTGGGTCATCACGGCAGCACATTGCGGGTGAGTCAACTTATGTAACCAGCCTTAACCTTCTGGGTAGCCATTCAGATGAAGCTTTAATAGTCTCGGGACTTAAAGCACAAACATCAGTTCGTGCTTTCAGTCCCGAGATCGCTACTGCTATTCTTACTACCATACGTAGCTCAACTTTTTTTATTATTATAATTATTTCACAGTAATTTTTGCGTAAGTGCGAAACCTGATTGGAAAACTTGATGATTTTGGTTCATAACTTATTTGTTTATTTTTTTAAGTTTCTTTTCCTTATTATTATCAAACTTTCTTATTTTTTTTTCTTTTCTTTTTATAACATACATGAAATAGCGATAAATTAGATACGGGTATGAAATTAGAGAAGATATTGGCAAATACACATAATGTTATTACAACTTGAAGCTTTTATTTTGTATTTATTGAAGTAAAAAAAGTTGTGTCGATGGGACGTCCGGTAGATTTACTCGCATAATGTAGAAGTAAGATAGATATAGAATATGTTAATAAAATAATGACGCAGGAGGTTTTGAAGCTACAATAACAGATAACATACCCTAACGTTTTGGACTTAACATAAACAGACACGCTATTTATAATTCACTTAGTCGTAGTAACATTATTACAATGAGCACTGTCACTATAACCAAGATTTTTGTAATAATCGATTTACATTTGTGACATTTATGAAAATTATATGCATATTAAATATTCCAAGATCAGGGATGTTCACAAATGGAGCACAAAAAATTAAACATTGCACAGAAATATAAAGATTTGGTAAATACAGTACTGGAAATTCTTATATTATTCTAGAAATCTATTATTGTTCTCTTCGAAATGACTGTACGGCATTAGCTCAGTGGTGATGCAGTCTTTGGTATTACACAAAATCAGGAAAACCTATTCACCTTTGCTGAAGGTTTATTGTTCACAGTTTGGCTTTTCTATTTATTTGCTGCAAGCATTACAAAAGCCAACTTACCTTCTTGAAGGACTGTAGTGATTACTTTGCTAGTCACAATTCCGTTTTAAAGGGAGAAGCCGTACATCAGGGTTGGGTCGAAGTACTTGAACCAGGGGAAGAGGGTTGGCGTGAAGAGATCATACATCCACCCGCAGTGGCCCGCAAAGGACAAGGAGCACCCGTTCGACTTCGACTTCCAGCTGCTGAGGCTGAACGAGCCCCTGAAATTCGACGAGCACGTGCAGCCGGTGAAGCTGGCGCGCATCGAAGACATGGTCATAGGGAAGGTCATCTCGGTGACGGGATGGGGCAACACAGAGGAGAATGTGAGTGGAACAATGGCCACATGGGTTTGTGTTATTAATATCATCTTACCCCTGCTTCGACGCCTTGTTTTTGTTCAAATTGGAAAAGTTGATGGTGACAGGTTGGGGCGACACAGAAGAAGATGTAAGTAGATAGATAGGGTTTATGTTATTAATATCATTTTGAGCCCGCTTCTTTTTTTGCGCGAAGCCTTGTTCTTTTCCAAATAGTAAAGCCCCTTAACCGTAGTAGGGCTACGTAACAGTCCTCGTTTTGAACGAATGAGCAGGGGTAAGTATTACAGACTCACAGAAGACAGGCGTGAAGTAGAAGTGTTATACTTTCGCGTTTCAGCTGTTGAGTGAAGTAGCCGGGGCCCATTTTATTAATTAAAATTAAAAAAAATTTTATTACTCTAGAGTTGATTTGGACGTGAAGAAGTAATTTTTAACATGATCTGATATTGTGATATTCCAGCGTAAAAAATAATTTTAAGCTCTTTTAACAGATTCTGCGTTAACAGCAAACGTAGTGCGAATATTTTGCCATGTCTTTTTAGCTTAAAATTTTTCGCTGAGCTAATTAGGCTCCTCGTATAAAATACGGTAAGCTGCATATCGGTAAGGTTTGGAGTATCATTTAGTTACTGTTCCGGTAACCCAGAAAGGCGTCGTGGAAACCAGTTGTCCGAAGGCGTCCTTTTTAAGTGATGAGTTTTAAGTGTTGCTAAATTCTAATCTCGCACCAAGCATTTCTGATCATGCTTCTTTGATATTTAAAAGTTTCTATTTATGAATTAAATCATTAAAATTGTAGAGAAAGTGGCCGAAAAGTTTTTCTCCGCTGTGGGAATCGAACACCCATATGGAAAGACGTGAAAAATTTTTAGAACTGTAAAAATTTAAAATTTTGAATTAAATCATGTTCAGCAATAACTGTATTAATAAGAAAGCTGAAGATGAAGACAAGACAGTGACTACAGTCACCCTTCGACGCCATTTCTCGGCAATGTTGAATTACAAGGTTTATCTAGTCAGAGTTTAGGTTTTTTATGTGAAAAGTTGCCAAACGAGCAGACGGTTCACCTGATGTTAAATGAATACCATCGCCCATGGACATCTGCCACACCTGAGGGTTACAGATGCAATGAAAATTGGGCTCCGGCTACCTCAATCACCAGACGAAACGCGAAAGTATTTGTCATACTTCCACTTCATGCTAAAAGACCTATGCCCGTCACTTTGAAAGATAATCAAGTAAAACCTAGAAAAGCGTTACTGCGTTATAGAGTTGTGCGTTAGCTTCCTACTTGGCCGTCATTGTCGTGACAGGCAAGGCAGATCGCGAATTATTGCTTTCATGCATTTTCCACACTTGCTCAAAGAAAGTGTGAGATTGTGAGATTGTGAATGTGAAAGGTGATAAAAAGCATTTGGATACGATCATGAACTACGTTTATATCGGTGAATTTAATACATTATTTGAGTAAAAGTGAGAGTACAAAGTTCTAAGGCATATAAATAACAGCTTGTAAAATTTGATTGTGTTTTCGAACTTCTTGCTATTGAGCTGCGCTTTTGAAATTAATGTTCAATCTGTGCCTAGAATCAATTACCGGTAAATATCTGTTACGATCCTCGACCAGTTCTTCACCTGAATTCAGGTAAATTTCTTTGGTTTGGATGATGTTTGTTTTGTCAGTTTTTTTCGGTTATTTGGATTTTACTGCTGACTGAATAATAATAACTTGTTACATAAAACCTAAATTACGTACACAATGTAGAAGAAATGATGTTGAAAGAATGAACTAAAATGATATTATGAAAGCCTGATGAGCGATCGAAAGTGCTTTTATTTGTTTTATTATAATCTGTTGTATTGTAAGTAAGCCCTTAATATTATTAGTATCCGTTCCGTGCGATTTCATCCGCAAGACACGTTTCTGTTTCACCCCCGTAGGTCGATGCGTGATGTTAAATACTCAATAAGGAAGGGGGAATTGAGTAATGCTCAAGAATTATGCTATCAAATGCAAAAGATTTTTTCTAATCCGACTACTAGTTCCAGAGATTATCACGTCCAAACAAACAAACTCTTAAGCTTCTTTATATTAGTATAGATTTCTGCTAATACTAAACCTTCATTAATTCTCAAAGCGACTAAACGTGATATTTAAGTTGTATAAGATGCACGTTTTATAATCGTAGATTAAAAATTTGATGTAAACCTTTCCGAAACTATATTTTCTCCACATCGTACACGACGCATATTTGGTGTCCGCAGTAAATCTTGTGGAATGGCCGACAAGCGTCTAGAGTCTGACTTAGGTTGATACAAGCATCTTAAACTAAGCCGGGCCTAAGTTATGACGGACCTGTGACGCCACAGCGTTACTATCACGAGACGACGGCCACGCAACTGCCCCCAACAATTAGGGTATATATCGCTTTGCTACGAATTTAGTCTAAACTGATTCGTTTGGAATTACACAGAATAAGAAACAAATCTCCGTTATAGATTCATGGCGAGATGGTTATTATGATTTCACATGAGGAACACCCCTCCTCAAAACAAAAATAAGATATGTTTTTAATAATTTCTTGTATTTACGCGATTACACATTATAAATTAAACTAATTTTACTGATTTATCTTTAATTTTAATTTTAATTCCCGACGTTTCGAACCCTTTACAGCGTTCATGGTCACGGGACAGACAGGTGTTAGACGTCTGATTGTCATAGTTAACCCAGGCTACCGTCAGTTTTTGAATTATTAATTTTGTGTCCGATCTATGTTTTTAAATCATCAATACGATTGTTAAGCAATGTTGATGTTTATATCGTATGGATAGGCGTGGAAATGCCTGATATCAGTTAAAAAAATAAACTTATTTTGTCTAGGATTAGACTCATTGGGTATTTAAAGCAAAAAAATTATGCTTTTCTTAGAAGTCTATCCCGTGACCATGCACGCTGGAAAGGGTTAGAAACGTCGGGAATTAAAAATAAAAATTAAAACGCGGCAAAATGCGTGAATTAGTTTCATTTACTGTTCTTAGAATGTAAAACTTTCCGATTTTATTAAATAAAATGAATTCATTTTTTTATGCCAGGGACCATATTCGCCAGTGTTACGGGCTGTAAGAGTACCAATAATCTCCAAGGAAACATGCCAGAATGTGCCGTTCCCTTACTTCAGGGGCAGTTTGACGCCTAGAATGTTCTGCGCTGGGTACTCTGAGGGACAAAAGGACGCTTGTCAGGTAATTTAGAAGTTTGAAACGATATTTAAAACATGGTTGATCTGATTGCGTAAATACATTAATAATCATAACGCTTTGCGAACAAAAACTCTAGTCATACAGCTGTTAAAATTTGTTCCAGTATTTCATGTTCACTCGATGGTGGGTCACTGGTAGGGAATGCCTTTTGGCATTAACTCTACCCCTTTTTACCTTTATTATTTCAAGTTATCAGTAAATAAATAATAATTAGTCTTCAAAAAATATTATTGAAACTTTTATCAGTTTTGTGAAAAGTCGACCAGGATTTGCAACGACAGGGTTTAAGAAACTCTATCTTATATTATCTATATTTTAATACGTGAAGCAAAAAATTTATACCCCTTTCTACGAAAATTGCGCGGATGAGGAGTGTGAAATTTCCCACACTTATAGTTTATGTAGAGAAGGAGAGTAAAACGCTAATATTTTTTTTTAATTATGAATTAAAATGTATTAAATCAATAAAAAACAGTACACACACACACACAGTGGTCGAAGTTCGACCATAATTAGGCATATATACCATGTATCTACCATGTATGCCGAATTTCGACCACTGGGCGACCATTACTTATCATAAAATATTAAAAAAACAGGTTCTTGAGTAGCAGCTTCGTACTGATCACCGCAGTGTAGGATGACCCCCATCAGATGGAGTGATGACTTGTGCCAATTAGCAGTAAGTCGATGGTTGCAGGTGGCTCGGGTGCTTTATAGCATTCTCTAAGGGATAAGACTCCCAGTATTCAGCATTTGATACTAGGCTGAAATGATGATGATGACGGTGTTAAAACTTTTTTTTTTATTTTTATGATTAATGTTAAATCTATCAATTCTCTAAAGTCTATTACGTCTCCCAGGGTGATTCTGGGGGACCAGCGGTTGCAAACGAGCGCCTGCTTGGTATGGTGTCCTTTGGCTACGGTTGCGCGACCCCTGGCTCCTACGGGGTGTACAGCAAGGTCGCGAAGGTCAGGCCCTGGATTGAGAACATCACCGGCCTAAGGCTCAACTGAGCGGCGAGTTTAATAAAGAAAAAAAGAACTTTTTGAATAAAACTTTAATTTAAATTTTCTTCCTGTATGTTTTTAGAAAACGTCACTCGGCGAGTTACTCCCGTGGATTATTGATTGGATGTATAAGGCAATAAAAACAAGGTTTTGTAAACTATTGTTGTTAAGTAGTTTAGGCGAAAATTCCAGAAAAGTTACTCTCAACAGAATTGACACACCAACCCTATATTGTAACGTAGCCTTTAGAAGGAACAGAATGTAGTACCAAAATATTCTACGGCAAAACTGGAGAAGTAAAATGTTTAGCTTGTGTGAACTTCGAACTGCGATAGCTTTAAGTCATCATTGAGCATCATGTAGTGAGATAAGAAACAAAAGTTTGGGAAGAAATTTATTACAAAGGTAAAATATTTAAACCATGGCATTGTTAGGGCTAATACATTAAAAAATATACACCATAACATATAATTATACAACTAATTTAACATAGATTTATAATTTTATATATTTCCCCGTCGTATCTTTAGGTAACTGTTATAAACGGTTTTATGCAACAAGTAAACAATTATTCCTTGGCTTTTTAACTTAATTAAACACATTTCTGCACACACTAACGGTGGTAGGGCCACGCAGCAGCCTCGGCTGTTGCACGAATGGGCAGGCTCGTCCGGGTAAGTACCACGACCTCACAGAAGACAGGCGTAAAGTGGAAGTGTAATACTTTCGCGTTTCGTTTGGTGAGTGAGGTGGCCGGAGCCCAATTTTCCAAAGGTTGTCAACGCATTTGTACATAAATGTTTGTGCATAAAGATTAAGTAAATAAATAAAAAAGAGACAAACAAGCAAGCAGGTCAAGCAGACACCGTTGCCCATAGACATTCTCAACAGCATAGAAGGGACACTAGTTAGCCTTTCATTCTCAGGAATAATAGTATTTTTATGAAAAAATCCTTTTTATTAAAGTTTGCAACGCATTTGCGATTCCGCGGGAGTCATAGGAGGAGATAATTAATATCGGGTGAAAAAAAATATAGGTATAATTAAATAAATAAATAAATATTTTAGGACACATTTTTACACAACATTATCTAGTCCCAAACTAAGCAAATCTATGGGCACTAGAAATCTGATCACCATACTTCAACATACTTTTCTTTTGTAAATAAATACATATTATACATATATAACACCCAGACACTAGAAAAACACTATGTTCATCACATAATAATTTTTCCAGTAGTGAGAATCGAACCCACAACCTCCGGCGCAGGAGGTAAGTACGCTACCCACAACGTCATTCGGGTCAAATAATTACAGGTAGTATAATATAGTTATAAAATCTGAAATGTGTGAAAGCATACGATGAGAAATCCAAGAGGGCTATTTACGAGGAGGTACGGACACGAAGGTTCAAACAACTCTTAGACGTTTACGGAGGTGGAGCATATTGAGGCTGAGAACAGTAACAAATCGTTAAAATGTAAAAAATACAAATTTTAAATGGATCAAAATAATTTTAAAATGAAGTTAATACAACATAAATATATCTGAAATTCTTTAACCGTAGGCTTATAAACTACTGTTCCAAGAATGGAAAACTTAAAAATAAAAAAAAGAGAGCGAAAGGGAGAGAAAGATGATGAAGAATGAGAGCTGTGTCTAATTTAAACATGTCTTTCCCTCGGGCTTATAAATAAGGAAATTAATCTATATATTTAAAATGTTTAATTTACTAGAAGACATTTAAAGCTAAACATGAAAGACAAAAAAACACAAAGCATATGGGGTGTAGGTACTAGTAAGTTCAAGAGATGATCAGAACTATTTATTGTTGAGAACGACATTAAAAAAATATAATTTTAAATTAATTAAGAAATTTTAATTAACTGTCACGAGCTTATTTACCAATTTACATATAATAACCAAGTCTTAACCCTGGGACCACATAAATTTTAACATTAATCCGTAGCGGTAGGACCGTTACCTTGCGTTCTTAGAAACTTCAATCAAAAATATCGTTTCGTTATGCGCATGAGTAGCAAAATATGATTACAAAGGTACAAAGGTTCTTGTACAAAATAATTCTGTGTGCTGAATTTTTCTCGGCGAACGGGTAAGTGTTTTAATGTAGTATTTTTTTTATTTAAGCAAATAATACACATTAAAGTCGCGATAAATTCCTCAAAATGTTTTTAAGGAATTCATCGCGATTTATTTATGTTTAAAACATTGCGAAAAAGATGGATCAATAAAATTATATGACCCGAGTTCAAAACATTGTAAGATAGTATATCAAAGAACTCGGACTAAGATTATCTTTCTATCTTATAAGGTTTTAAAGTCAGGTTTTCTTTAAACATTTACGTTTTTTTTTGCGAAAAGTTGTCAAACGAGCAGACGGTTCACCTGATGTTAAGTGAATACCGCCGCCCTTGGACATCTGCCACACCCGAGGGTTACAGATGCGTTGACAACCTTTTGAAAATTGGGCTCGGGCTACCTCACTCACCAGACGGAACGCGAAAGTATTTGTCATACTTCCACTTTACGCTGGTCTTCTGTGAGGTCGTGGTACTTACCCGGATGGGCCTGCCCATTCGTGCAACAGCCGAGGTTGCTGCGTGGCCCCTCTCACTGTTAAAACGTTTGTCTCTCTGTTTTCATTATGCTTTGGTGTTTGGCATAAGCCACATTTCATTAGAAAGATTTTCCCTTTTGTAACTTGCTTTGAATTTTATGTGAGAAGGTCGCAAGCCAGCTGGCGGTTCACCTGATGTTAAGTGTTAATAACTTTATGTATAACTCATATATTGCTTTGAATAAGGAAAAAATATATTTTTATAAGTAACAAAGGAGCAGGTATTTTAAAACAAGTAATTGCAGCCGTGGACATCGACGATACCATTGGAAAGTTGCCCTGCTGACCTTTAATGTTGGGCTACCTTATTCAACAGACAAAATCTAAAATTATATATAAAGAATCTTAAAAAGAACGTGGGCCAAAAAACCTCACTCGCCAGACAAAACGCACAAGTGTAATACTACCATTTCACGCCGGTGTTCAGTGAGGTCGTGGTACTTTCAAGGACGAGGCTCTACCACAGAACTGAAATTTACATCCACCACAGTAAAAAACAAATCTTAAATTAATTAATATCGGTACCAAGAGCCAGAAAATATTATGACCAAACTCGAATACTGTCAGCCGATAAATAGTTAGGAAGATCTTTTTTTTTATTTTTGCATTTATGATTCTAGAATATTAAATGGCCATGATATAAGTATAGAGAGAGCTCCGTATCACGTGAATTATGGAGATATATGTGGAGGGGCGCTTATACATCAACAGTGGGCTTTGACTACGGCACATTGCGGGTAATGGTGTATGCTTTATTTGGAAGTGGCAAATAGGCTGGCGGTTCACCTGATGTTAAGTTATAACCGGCGCCCATGGACATTTACAACACCCGTACGATTGTAGATGCGTTGCCACTTTGTGTAAAGTGTGTAACTTTGTATCGTGTAAAGTGGCCCCGACTACACTCCTACTTCTCGCCGATCTTCTGTGAATATGCTTTTGTTTCTAGATTTACTTTATTCCATAAAATAAGATATTATGAGACCCTTTTCTTATATTATAATCGTAAATTTATTACTTTTTAAGAGTGTTTTTATTTAATCAATATTATTGTTACAGATGGTGTTACTGTAAAAAATATTTTGTACATATTCTGATGCAACTTATTTCGTCTGTTACACGAAAAGATACATGTTTAAGATATTTATTGATATATGGGTCATAATAGATAAAAAAATCAATTTTCACACATGTACACTTTCGTAACCTTACAGAGATTGTAATATATGACATTAAATGTGTGATTACCTCAAGTTTCAAAAATAAAATAATAATATTGTATTTAGACTGTCAATAACTTAATGAAACGTGATTTAGATTTGAATTCAATTTCTAAGCTACCTTATTTGTCATTCTGTCGAATTCTTTTTATAAAAATGCTCAGTGTTACTTTTCAACATTGTTTAGCGTGCAATCGTAAATGCATTTCAGCTAAGGAGAGCCTAGAACGTTCTATCTTTAGGCTAGAAACTTTTAACGGTATTACGTGACCTGTCCAGGAATTATGTGAACAGACACCGTGGCAACACTTCCTTCTTGGAGCCAGATACCTTATCGCTAAAACTTTGCTTTATCGCTAATGCATTAGAAAACAAAATTGAGTGTCTCGCTTGTAAAATAAATCGCGAAACGTTATTTAATTCTATTTCGTAATATACTCGCTTGATTATATCTACCGTTATTTATGCGGAACTTTTTAAATAACAAATGTTTGTATAGCACTATGAATGTTATAAATTATTAGACTGGCTAACAAGGCAATACTTTTTACTTAAAAAAAAGGAAACCAAGAGTATTCGACATTTAAATTTAATTAACCGATTCTAAAATTTTACTCTATTTCTTAATTTTCCCATTCAAAAAGTTAAAAAAGTCTAAATTTCTTTATTCAATAAAGGCTTAATTTGAGCTAACGGCAAAAAAACTACCACCGGTTCACTAAACTAAACCTGAACAGAGAAGAACCGGCAAGAAACTCTGCGGTCGTTATCTATGTTTTGTGATACAATTACACAAATTTCTTTTTTTACAAATATACATTAAAAAAATATCATATTATTTTTCAGCGTAGAGAAAGACTTTATTCGTGTCGGCAGCAGACGACGTCTCGGCGGTGCGAAGGTCGCAGTGCGAAGGCATATGGTCCACCCCCAGTATCGGAGGGAACATGGGTTCGATTTCGACGTGCTGCTCCTCCAGTTGCGCAGAAGGCTCCACTTCTCGGAGAGAACATCGATGATAGAGTTGAGCGGTGGAGAGTGCGGTGACACTGTCTTTATCACCGGCTGGGGCTTCCCTGCGGAGAGAGTAAGAGATCGTGAGCAATTGCGTCACACGCAACTACGTCACCACTTGCAATAATTAGTAATGTACACATGCCGTTAAAGCAAATTTAAATATGCTTGTACATTCGTCAGGCACACTAACTAAATAAAATCGGGACCTATTAAAAGAATCCCATATTTTTTATACGATTTTATTTAATGGTCTACTCGTAGTAATTAAAAAAAAATTGACAATGACTTCGTTATCCTATTCCACTACCACTACTTAAAAATAGGTCATTCATGGGGCAAAATGTGCGCGTGTATAATAAAATCCCAAATCTCGATATTAAGTCTGCCCACTTGACCAATTTAAACGCAGAATCAGAAGTAAACTTATAGCTAAAGCATATTATACCTTGCGGAATATCTTCTTCTAATATAAGTTAATACTACTGATACTCACGTAGGCTAAAATAAGAATATTGTTATATCTATGTTATATTGTAATATGACATCTTTTTAAAAAAAAAAAACCAGCAGCAACTGTTGAGGTTCTTGCCGGTCTTAACAGATACTACCTTTAACTTATTTTTTTATTAAAAGTCTCAAAATTTCTATAGCAACGCGATCGTGTTACTATCTTCGAGATGGCAATAAGAATATATCGAATAAAATGTCTTACGTATTATAATTAAATTAATTAATTATTTATTTTAAAAATGTGCCGTGAGTGTGTACATAAAATACGAAAAACGAACTTATGTTTTCTTTATCTTGAGAAGGTGGCAAACTGATCTGATGGTTTACCTGATGTTAAGTGATAACGCTGCTCACGGACGGCGAATGCACCCGGGAGGTTATATATTCATTCCCATCTTTAAATAAAGTGAGGCTCGCTTACCGCACTCACCAGACGAAATGCAGAAGTGTAACACATCCTTTTTATACAGCTTCTCTGCTAGTTTGTAGTACTTCCTCGAACAGACCTGCCCATTTGTGCAACATTGAAATCTGTTGACCCTAACACAGTTAAAAATGTAATGGAAATTACCTGTCCTTCTTTCTTAGGGTGACTACAAAGACATTCTTCAGCAAGTTCGAGTGAATGTAGTACCAATACAAGAATGTCAGGGGGTCAAAGAGTTTTGGTACAACCACACACTCACTTCCAGAATGTTCTGTGCCGGCGGCCGAGATGGCGACGCTTGTCAGGTGACAAGTTTAACTCTTAACAATTAACGACGCAGGTAAACACGTATCAATGTCGTAGTTTTACTGGGTTCTATTCAAATAAGATATCAAATCTTCATAGGTCATTTAACCGTGGATGACATAGAGCGAAATCTTATTAATAAATTACTGTTCTATCCTTTATTTAAGTACTTGGGCGGTCTTACGTCTCGTAAACATGTGATATAGTGATTTTTGCTCCAAGACTTGCTCCAAGGTAAGACTACAAAAATATTTGTGCATGCATTACCATGTTACCATATTACGCCATTGTACCTTTTACCTTATTGTAACTTATTTATCAGTATGTTGCGTCGACATCTCAACTGTTAACTAGTCACTGTTCTTTAGCATGCTGCGCTTCGACTTATGTCTAAACTTCCATCGCCCTTTTTAATTCTAATAAATGTGTTACTTTCAAAAATACTTTCGTACTGTTAAAATTAAATACTGTTTAGTTTTCTATACCAATGTTAAAACTACGATTGATCCGCCAGTCTCTCTTCTTACGGATAAAGATCGCTTGTCCATAGTGCATTTTCTTTGCATATATTAATTAGATTTTTCTTCGATTCGTTCAACGCAGTAAAATAGACCTTCAATTCTAGTTCTTAAAAACTGGAATGGAAGATTACAAAAAGAAAATTCTATCGGCATATCGATAATAAGGTGTAAATTTAATTTTTTGTTTCTATTTATATTTTTAGTTTCAACAGATTATAATTTTTATACCTATGTATTATTATTATTCTGTGTACTGTTTTTCCTAGAAAGAGTTTCTAAGAAACATTCTCTTTACTACTTTATCTTAAGATGCAAATGTTAATTTTTGCACTCAATGTACCAGGGCGACAGCGGTGGAGCAGCGGTATCCTACGGTAGACTGGTAGGGCTGTCCTCTTTCGGCTACGGCTGCGGTCGAAACATTCCAGGGGTGTACACGAACGTGTCGGACGCGTCAATTAAAGCCTGGATAGAACACTACGTGCCTTTAAATACGCAGTAGCGAATTTCGCAAGTGTCTTAGCAATTTGTGATTTTGTTTATCACTTCCTACTTTCTCTCAACTATATTCTCCTGGTAGATTATCTATGCGAGCAGCATCTAGTGGAGATAGTTACCCACTTATATATAAAACTTATTAAGCTGAGAATAGAATCCAGGGAATTCATATAAGCTTCCTTTATTTATTTACATTTTGCATTGTATGAGAATTATTGCCTGCTTCTATCAAAACTTAGTATTATGCGTGTACCTAGTAAATAGTTACTTACTACATACCTAGTAAATACTTTTTAATATCTAGTAAATTCTACAACGAGCTTGCACCGTATTAACTGCTAAGTACAATTTAAAAAATCAACAGATTATATTTACTCTTTCTACCTTAGCTATTAGTAATTAAGTCACCTTCAGAACCAATTACAACATTAAACTTTGATTAAAAGCAAACGTAACCGATAAGCATATGTGCGTGGTTGTCTGCGTCGTACAATATAGGATTTATCTCTGCCTACCCCCCGGGCTACCGCGTGAGCGTTAATTTATTTACTACCTACCCCAGCCGACAGCGAACTATTCCATGAAAGGGGCCGTCTTACATCGCTCCGTCTGTCTGTACGTGGGATTACATTAGCGGGAATAAATAGTACTCAATTTTAAGCGAGTACGCACTAGATAGAACGCAATAATAACTACGCAATATCGTTAAAAGCGCACTCGGCGGCAGTCTGCGTACCTTTGGAACGTCACACGGAAAAGTTCGAAATGGAGGAAAAATTTTGCGAGGAATACATCGCCGTAGTCGCCTCCCTATGTAAGTGGCATGCCGTTGGCGGGTATTTAATGTACATAGCCCGCTTATGTACACTCGTACCTTGTTAATGTAATTATCTGCCTTCAATTTTGTATAAAATCACGCGTGTGAGGTCGCGCGGGCTGTGTGTGTGCGTGGAGTATACGCGCCTCGGCGCTGGTGTGTGTTTATTTTATCTACACTGTTTGCCGTATATTGACGTGGGGTGGGGGGGGGGGGGGGTGACCCTAACACCTCCACCCCACGGGGGGTTGATGACGATGACGAGTCTGTGCGACTGAGCGAAAGGGACAGCTGCGAAAACTAGCCGGCTTCTCCCGGCCGCCCCACCCCGCCGCAATGACTATGGGCATGATTAATACTAGTGATTTTACCACGAATTGCCCGTTATTACGCTCTATTGGTGCACAACCGCACTTAAGCCCACGGTGCACGGACCGGCGATGCGCAAAGAAGTTGAACGTCATCACGCCATCTAAACAAAGTACCCATACGCTGCACTTTTCGAGCCAAATCGAAAGCAGTCAAACTGAGCTCTAACCGTACGCGATAATGCCCGACGATACGGCAGAGTTCAACTTGTTGCTAGTTTTTCAAATCAACGTTGAATGCCGCCGGTCTTTGTGAATACTGCAAATCATTTCCCAATTACATTAAGTGTTACTTGAGTACCACTAAAATCCTATATTGCGTTATCAGAATATCTTAATAAATAACTTATTAGAATGAATTCCTAAATATTGCTTCTGTTTTGCTGAATAAAATACTACACGAAAAGATAACTAAACCATGGAATTATAATTTTATATCTATAACACCATTGCGATAGTAATGATTGCCCGAAAGTGGCATTTTATGTGTCATTAATGACAGATTTATTATTTATCGTTGCATTTTCAATTTTTCAAAATCATATGATATTAGAATGGTAGAAAATAATGACTACGCAGTGATAAATTGGATGCCGTCATGGATAAAATATTTTCTTCTCCTTTCATACACAGCAAGATAATTTTGACAACCGCCCTGGAAATGAACCAGGGCCTCTTGTTTAGTACTCTAACTGTTAAGCGATGCGATCACTGTTAAAGGAGGCTATTCTGTGCTGTGCGATTGCTCTGAATAGCCACCCGACTGACGCGAACGGGGCGATTATCGCCTACACGAGTTTTTTTCGCTTTGGTTATAAATTCTAAAGTTTGTGTCAGTATTAAGTATATAATATCTTCGATCATGGAACAAGGGCGAATATAAATATTTGCAAATTTGCCTTATAATAATAGAAATTAAAAACTTTCGAAAACTTTCGAAAAGTTAGCACGTAAAGATACAACACTACTTAATGGGGAGAGCTGCTGCCGGCAAAAACATTTCATCTTTAGCGTTGTAAATTCTTGCATTAATTAAAATTGCAATGGATACGAAATATTATTAATCTGGGATGTCTTTACACCAATGTGTTCTACTTGAAGCCATTTGGTATCTGTAGCTTCAAGTAGATGAGGCTTACCCATCACGAGTATAGCTGATTACTTACAAAAGATCGGTTTAAGCAGGAATAAGTACTTTTGAGTTACGGATAAATCTTTTCGAAAGTTGGCAACGCACCTGCATCCCAAAGTTGCCAGCTTTTCAATTGAAATAAAACAAAAACCTAATCCGCATTCTCAAGGCTCTTTAGTCGTGAAATGAATGACGTCTTGTTCTTCTATTGTTGATGTGCCGACTTAGTATCAGGAACTTTTTTTGTTTAAATCATTACAACTTAGATCAGATAATTACTCTTGCGATTTTAGCTAGTGGAAATCAGGGCTTCGACAAGCTGATAATTTTTGATTAGTTTTTAACACCTTGTAGTGGTGCCACTCCACTCTTGCATGACGCTTGTGACAATACTCTCCATACGCCGGGCCTACGTACTGACTGAGCTATCGCTCGGCCTTACCTGGTAAAGGGGTGGATTTGTAAATCTGTTAAAATAAAACTAACCATCAACGCAGTTATGCTGCCCTGGTAGTTGGGATCGACACGGGTTAGAATCTGATTTATACAAGAAAGAGTCTCTATATATTATTTCTCAAAAGTTTTACTAATAACTCTTTATGTAATTTAATGACTTATACACCATTTTAAAATTTGTTTGCATCTATTGCCCAAAAATAGCATAAAATAAAAGTTTTGCACGAAAAAAACTTTCCCTTGAAAACTTCTTATAAAGAATATACGATATTATTTGAAAGATAGTGAGATAGACAAAGTTCTACCGTTATTCTTCAAAATGAGATTTTGAAGGAATAGCATACATTGATAAGCTATACCCATGACTTTGGTCTAAGCAACTAGGGACGGGGATGTCCCTAACTCGAACCACTTTATAAGGGTTACGAATGTGATTACTTACGGCATACGTACATCACGATTGTATACAAAAGATTAATATGCGTTTCAATTGATCAAACGGGAGTAACTACACGCGCGACGTTTAAAAATTGAAAACCCGATAAACATCGGGCCCCGGTGCGCGCGCGAAAATGAAATGCAAATTATATTTCGTGATTAACTTCAGTGTACTTGCCACGGCCGGATGAGTTTTTAAGCCGACTGTACACCTACTGCGTTCGACGCAGTTAAGCCCGTGCAGGGTATGGCGATGCGTAAAAACGGCGCGTACACGTCCACCCCGGACCCCCGCCGATTTATTTCCGCCATTATCGCAGCGGACGCGAAATCTATACAATAATATGGACATCCGAAAGCGACGTTATTCACTATTAATAGTAATTTCAGTCGAATGTACGCCATTTACGTCTACAAAGAGTAAATAGGTCGTTCACGGGGCAAAGTGTGCGAATGTATGATAAAATCTTACAGTCTGCCCACTTGACCAATTTAAATTCAGAATCAAAAGTCAATTTATGGCTTAAGCATATTAAACCATTAGAGAATATCTTGACTAGGCCAATGTGTGACGTTAATACTGTTGATTTTCACGTAGGCTAAAATAAGAATATTATACCTGTGTTATATATATTGTAATCTGATCTTTTTAATATAAGAGCAACTGTTGAGTTCCTTGCCGGTCTCTTCTCAACAGAAACTGCCTTCCGAACTGATGGTAACTTACTTACGAACTTATGTATCAATTATTTACTTGAACTATGTATCAATTATTTAAGTAAAATTCGACGAAAGACGCGCAAGCTTCTATTTAAATAAAGATATTTTGAATTTTGAATGAATTAAAGGTTTGTGAAGCTACTGTGCACAAGCGTTATACATTCCCGATAAGACATGTCTATGCCTTTGACCGTTAAAATTATTACTTTGGTCTAGTTCAAGGCTCTCAAATACGCTGAATAATTATGAAATGTCGTGAGTATTGGCCGAATTTGGTAACAACATAAAAGAACAGCGAATACCTAGTCCAGAGAATGTTCGCAGCTCTGTTAAAACTTAAAACATAAAAGCATCCGAGAAGCGTTATTACTTGTTAAATCATAAAATTAATTTCTATTTTATGTCACTTAAGATGATTACAGAGTCGTTGTTGTTCAAACTAATCTTTGAAATACAATGGAACTTAGAAATCGAATACGAGTTCCATATAAAGCACCAAATAGTTTTATTTTCACGAAAGCTACTGGCCATTAGGAATGTTTTATTCCAACTAAGCTTACACCTTTTTATTGATAATATAAAGCGCCAGAGACTAGTCGTTTGGTTCAGCATGCGATAAAGTCAAAATACCAAGATTAAGAGTATAGGTATATAAAAGGGTTAAAAAGGAAAATATAATCATAAAAGATAAAGATAAAGAAGTTAAAGAAAGATAAGGAAACGCGTTCAGAAGATCAGCATCACTTTCCGGTCTATGCCCTTTCATTGTTAGATCGTTTGCATTTGGGTGACATACAACGCGAGCCATGTGTCAAATGACACGTAGAATTTGCGAATACGCCCTTAATCGCGCGGATTATTCGATAATATACAAATGGAGCGGCGCCGGCCGACGAGCTGTGCCTATCATATTTTAATGCAGCGGACTTAGCGTGTCGCGGAGGGAATTGTTATTTTTCACTTTGTTTGTGCACGCGGACTCACAGTGCTCGGGTGTGTGCACTTGGTGCGTGATCTCGTCTAGAATTATGTTTTATTTTTTAAATATTCACTGCTGCATGACTTTATTGTCTGCCAGTTACATGAATCACAAATGATCACAAAAATTTTATGTAATCATGTTTATCAGCAGCACATGAATGCACACAGTCAAATATTGGGCTGGATACAGCTCCTTGTGGTACTCTTTGCTCAGCAGTAGGTCACAACTGTTTATCTCGATGTTTCAAATATTGTAAATATGTGTATATTACTGATTTTGTTTTTGGTTAACTTTATATATTATGATTAACCATCCTTGTTCTAATTCGTCCGCGTGTATGTCCCCCATGATAAGCATCAAAAATAAAACTCAGATTGTTTCACTATGTCTACTATAAAATAAACAGCAAGGCCTGAACCCGCACAACAAGCAATACCCCAACACGTAATAACATAAAAGCAAGTAGGTATAGAACAATCAAACACTCAAAGGGAGATATGTACAAATATTAATTCATATAATTTAGAAAGCCTTAGCTAATGAGCATTTGTATGTACACGATGAAACCGAAGTACATAGCGGTGCGGTATGTTCAAAATTTTATGCCTCTAACTCTATACCGGTTCTAATTTATAACGCTCCAAATGAATTCTGTAATAACGAAATAGTTTATTCTAACCGACACGCACACAAGCGCGTTTGTAATTTCGAAAATTGAATTTCTACGTCAGGGTGTTCCGACGCGTATATTGCCTGCAGCGCGTATAGTAAGTTTTATAATAAACATACAAAATCATTATTTGATGATTCGGAGGTGCACGCGAATCATTGGGATGGGTAGGGGGATGTGGGGTGGCGGGGGCACCTCACACCACCGGCGGGTGGATAGTCCAAGCCGATGCAGCAGCAATGCAACCTTCCGCCATCAGTGTGGCCGGCGAGCCTGGAACCGACGCGTGTTTAACACCTACGCAACGCGTTTAAAACCGGAGAGCGCGGTTGAAAAAAATAACCACCACCAAAAAAGGAATCCTAAAAATAAAAAAACTTTCAAACGGCCTAAAATTCCAAATCAAACAAAAAAAAAAACAAAATTAACGAAAATTACATAGACCATTTTTGGTTATCAAAATTTCGGGAATATTAAAAATCGCGCATGCGTTTAGGATTTCAACTGCCGCCCGCTATCACTCAAGAGATAGTTTTATGCAATAGACTTTATTCAGTTTCTTCGAATAATCATTGTAGTATTTAAGTGACTATTTGTATAAACCGATAGTATTCAGCAACACTTGAACTTTTAAATAGACTACATCACCGTTTTTAATTTTCCGAACTATAAGCTAGTGTAAGGCAACAAATCGGCGGTTTGACTCGGATTCGTCGTGACAGGGCTAATACAACATCTTCGACCATCCGGGGGAAGCAGCCGAAAGATAAGGAGACCCAGGAGAAGAAAGAAATCCATGGGACGACCACGCCGAAGACCATGGCTCTATAGATGCAAACACCAATAAATTAAATGCGCAAGAAATTAAACAAAGCCAAGATTTCATAGCAAAGGGAATCTAGCGAAAAACAAATAAAGAGCAGCGCCATTTGACGATAAAGAAACACGTTTTTTCGCAATAGAACAAGTTTTATGTTTATATCAACCGTTATTACCAGGAAACAATAGAAAAGAGAATTTAAGAATTTCAGTTTTTTAAGTACTTTTAAACAACACTGGTTATTTTTGGAACTTTTCGATTGATTTATATTGAGTTTTATATGCAGACTCTCCATATTTATCTAGTGAAAGTAATTTAGTGAAAAACTCTGGACCTAAACGTTAAGGCTAAGTGATATTTGAGACATTTGGCAAGTAAGTTTTGGAAAAATTTCGACCAATTTCATCTACCAATTCTGTATGTATGGCAGATGATAACAAACTAAGAAAAAAAATACAAAAACTCGTGCCTTAAATTGGCCTTAAATTAATATTAAAAAGGTAAGATAAAAATTACTTCAAAAAACGTTACAAAAAAATCTAAATTATCAAGTTTACCTACCTGTTAAAGCGACTTCTAGATTTTTTTAATAGTACAAAATTAAAAAGAAATAAATTAACGTTAAGAATTAGTTAAATGTTTTTTTGTTAAAAATATACTTCGAGAAAATTTTAAGAAAAAAATTGAATCGAACGGGCTTACTAAAAAGGGCAAGACATACAATAAACAGAAAATAAGAAAAACTAAAATTCAGACACAGACAAGTACAGAACTGGAGATCAAGAGGGTATTGAAGAAATCTTACCCGAAAAACACAAGAAAGAAAGAAGAGGATCCTCTTCTTGCAGAACAGTAAACCAGGTAAGGTACCAAAAATACTTGTAAGCCATTTAAGATATTTCGCAATAAATTGTAATGATTTCAGATTTCATGCCTTTAATGATTTTTGAAAAGGACAGCCTAAAGCCGGCGTCTCGCTCGCACTTGTACGCCATTCTCTATCTGATGCAACATCATCATTTATTTATTTTTAACGAAATCGTCATCCGTATAAAATTTAACAGGCTATAGATTATAGACAAATGTCTTAAATTAAGTTAAACGGTTATATAAGAATTGTTTGTAAGTAAATTCGTCGTTACCAACATAGGCGTGACCAGCAACGGAACCGTTCAAAAGTGACCGTTCAGAATGTTTACTTCCATCGCGACTGGTCACATGTGATCCGATACATCGTGGTATGTAGTGGCCAATGCCAAGAATGGCGTAGAAACATTCGCCTCCAACTTTCGTTTTCGCCAAGTCAAGTTCAGGTTTTGCCGATGATTCGGAGGGCGGGCGCGTTGCGCATGCCCCAGTCATCGCAGTCATTGCCCAGCCAAATTATTGATTGCGGCCATGTCGGAAAACTACGGGGTGGCGCGGCGCAGGGGGGGGGGGGGGGCGTCATTTACCAATGCGATAGTTTTCACAACGCTCAATTATGTAGGAAGGTGGGGTGGTGGGCGAAAAAATCTGTACATCAAAATGGCGCGTTTCGGCGGATTTTGTATTAAATTCTATCGATGGCGCAGCCGCGCCTGGAATTTATGGGATGCTTTCACGGAATTTTGATTGGATTTAATAAAAGGGCGCGCGCTACGCATTTTACGAAATATATTACGTCTGTTCTTTGACTATCGTTTAATGATCACTGATATTTACCGCTAATCGGTGACATGGCCGATGGAAATTTTAATATTGCGCTGGATCACTCCCGCATAACATTATCCAATGCTATGGTTATACATACATATGGATCTTTCTAGAAGGGCTAGCCTTCACTAACCATAACCTTGGAGTAAAAGGCGACACATTGATATTCTTTTTGAATTAACTTTTGTAAATTTTTCATTTAATTAACGACATCTAGTTTTGAGAAAAAGAAAAGCCAGGAAAGACCATAGTTTGCAACGCTCTCTTAGAAATTTCTCTTTGTAAATGCATACTTGGGAAGTATGTCAATACCAAAGCAAGTATTTTAAGTATTCTCATACTTAACAGGTAAAGGAAGCACTAACGACCCTTGACTTTAAATACATTCAAGAAATAGAAGGGACAAGAAAGTAAAAGGCGAAGATGAGACATTCTCAATATTACGCCTGACGCAACTTTATTTGTTATTTTTAAGAAAAGTTTGTTCCTTTTTAGAAAATAAGAGAGTTACAATTGAATAAGGTTATCATTAATTTTACTTACAATAGTTTTTCTTTAACTGTGAGTAGGTAAATGGGAATTTCTAAAAAACGTCTTGGATTTTGGGAATTATAAGAACATCGATGGCATTCATGGAAGGAGCTCATCAAGGGGGCAAAATGTCCACAAAAAACTTAACACAAATAAACAAAGGTAATTAATCTTCATGTTTATATTTTCTCGTATTTGATAATTGAAAAACATTTTAATTATAACGATTGTTTGAAAACTATAGTAATCAAAAATTAAATAATGGAACAACGATTAGTGAACAATCATTGATGCACATATGAATTGAATGAAAGGAATTAAAAATTAATTTACTTATAGCTTCAATTATAAAAGACAACAATATCTAAAAAAAAGTAGTGTAAATGTTTGAGATATTTAAATTCAAAGCTCTGCAAGTTACTTGAAGCTAATTATTATTAAAGAAACTTGTTGAAAATTTTTAGCAAGCCCTATTTATATCTTTACTTTGTTGCACCGTCGATCTTAAGCGACGGACAACAATCGCTATTCGCAGAATTATCAAAGACGCACAGTCCTGGCGCTAAGAATGCGGTATGTTAATAATAAGAATTGTAACTCTGTCATAACAAACATTTTGTGAGAAAACTAAATCTGATGTGAAGCAGTCAGCTACTCTGACTGTCGTCTGCATTTGTGATCGGGGATGGGTTTATAACACTCCCGTATCCTTGGAAGTATAGTGCGTTCCTTCGATAGGAAAACACCACTTACCCGTCTAAATGAATATAGTTTAAGTAACGATATATAATTTCTGTTTACTTTATTATCCTTTTCTTAAAAGAGATCATTCAAATGTTTTACACACAAGACTGTACTTGAAAAATACCACAGGTAAATTCTTGTCTCGCGGTATGCAATTAGTAATAGATTTCTTAATAGAATTGCTCTTAAGCCTATGAATCGTCGGGAAAAACTCTAAGAATTAGTTCTTGCCCACCTTACTGCAGCGCGAGGTGTAATGGAAGATGGGTTGTTGAGGCAATATTTATTATGCGATTAGCCTACGTTGGCAAAAGAAGTGATAAAATGAGAAGATCTAAAGGTATAATAACACGCGGTTAAAGATAGAGCGATGTTTATTTTCGTTTTTCATATAGAAATTGCACGTGCTAAAATTGTCAAAACAGGTTAGATTAATGAAATTGAGTTTTCTTTGTTATCAGTCAATCATGTTTATTCATTATATAGATGACGCATGTCCATAATACGTCAATTGTTACGGTTTACATTATATGTCATATATAAATGACTGTGACAGATGATATAGAACGTATGATTCGGAAAGAGATAGCAGTTTATAGAACTGCATTCTAATTACACCAATTGGTGTAATTTAATTAATTAAGCTATTAGTTTGAAAGACGTGTAAGCCTCACAAAGCGACGCAAATACAGCATGGCATTTGACATTATATAATTCCCGTCCCAAGTTTTGTTTGCCAGGCAAAGGTAACTAGTATAATTTGGTAGGCAGATGACGATATACGAAATGTCAAGGAGTGTAATGATACAGTTGTGAAAAAAAGCTAAATAGATACGTATGGCTTTATAGTCCTTAATAATTATAATGTGGTTGGTTGGAGGCATACATTATAAATGATATTTGATAAAAACTTCGAAGCTACTCTTGGATCACCAAAGTATTGTTTTGCGCACAGCCCAAGTAATGATGTTATTTGCGGACTGCATAGCGCGGTTGCCAAGTTATTGGCTTCGGCGTCGTTGGTCGAAGGTTCGATTCCCAGACGGTACAAATATTTGTGTGACCCACAGATAGTTGTTTCGCATCTGGGTATTTGTCCGCGTGAAATGCATGTTTGTAAAAGAAAACACAGGATAAGGGTGTCCTAAGGAAAGGGCAATTTTTATTAAAGAATAAATAAGAATTATACTAAATGTCGATTGTAAGCAACATACAGTTAAAAAAACTATTAAAAAGAACGATACGGGTACGAGTAATATATAATGGCGATAGACAGTTAGATTGAATAACGGTATATCAAAAGTTTTAAGTTCTTGGTAACATTGGAAGTTAGTTTTACGAGGGAGTGCAAAACGTACGTGAAAAGGAGCCGTAGGCAAATATTTACACAGGGACGGCGTTCAAAAGGCCTACCCGCACGAGTAGCATTCACAGCTTGTTTTGCGGGCTCGGAATGTGACGTTTGCAAGCAATGAAGAATGTATTCGTAGTAAAAACCCCGTGTCAGCTTCGCAGTCTCAACGCCCGTGAGAATGCTCTACTCAAAAATGAAGTATGTTTCTGTACACGCTTTTTGCATACGATTAATCATCATTTTCAGGGTCCCATACCCAAAGGGTACAACGGGACCCTATTACTAAAACTTCGCTGTCTGTCCGTCTGTCACGAGGCCGTATCTCATGAACCATGATAGCTAGGCAGTTGAAATTTTTATAGATGATGTATTTCTGTTGCCGCTTAACAACAAATACTAAAAAAAATGAATAAAAAATGATTAATTGGGGTTCCCATACAACAGACATGATTTTTTGCTATTTTTATTGGTTATTGTATGGAACCCTTCGTGCGCAGTCCGACTCGACTTGACCGATGACAATGTTAACAATGTTTAAATTGTTAAAATCGCATGGCTCACTTATTACATCAGAAGTGATTTTGTTTGTAAGTGAATGATGTTAGGTCATAATTTTGATAAATGTAGTATTTCCAATAGTTTGCCTCGGGGTTTTTGCATATTGACATGATTTCTGCATGGAAA